AACATGCCTAACTTTAGTGGCACAAGTACTTATACTCTTCCTTAAGCATTTGTACTATGATGCAACAAATCAAGAGCATGCCATTTATCATATGCTGAACACTTTTTTCTTTTTTTAAAGTATAATACAAAGCTACATTTCCAAATCTCTATTCCGTGAACTAAAATATTAATCTGTAGTAAAGTTCATTACTGAATCAGTGGTATGAATCCAAGCATATGCATCACACAAAGGTGGCAGTGTACATGTTTTTTCTATCCATCACTTTGTGTATGAAGTAAAATATAACATTAATTGTAGCCTTATTATTTAAATAAATATTTGTTTTCAAATTGGTAAACATTATTTCAACTAGTACACTAATTATTTAATCTTTGCAATTTTACTTTCAATCAAAAAATCTATATTTCATAATCTTAAAGAAACTACAGTTTCAGGCACTGACTCCAGAATCACTGGCTCAACTAAGTAGTATCTTCATAGTAATTATTGTCTTTCATTTGACTTTTTTTCTCACCTAACAGTTTTATGTAAAACCTCTTTAGGTATCCTTTCCTTGTATCCTTTCAGTAAAGTGCAGCTTGAGCTTAACAAAAGGGAGTTGCTAACAAAAACAGTAACAGAGGGAGAAGTGCAGAGGCATATTGTTCACTAAGCTGTACATATAAATACTCCACTGTGTGTTGGCCCACTGTAGACCTAAAATGGCTGTACTGAAGGATGTTGTTGCCTGGTGACCAAGAGTGCATTTCCTATACCACAGAGTGATGTGAAGACTTGAAGACAGATTAACTCCTATTACTCTTAGAAGACTAAGATACTAAAATGAATTAATCCTGACATCAACATGCTAAATACTCCCTCCCTGTGCATACTAATAAAACTAAATGTGGTGACCTTCAGATTTTCACTAGGCATATAACGATCAAATAAGAGGATAACTTTGACTAAGCTTAGTTTTATTCACAGCCCATGAAATCAACAGGAAAATTAAAATCCTGCTAATGTAAAACAACAACTTATTCTTGCTTCAATGAAGTCATCGCTGTGTGTCTAGCCTGTCCTGGTGCAAACTCCCACCTGCTATCAGTGTCTTTTTCTTTCATTAGAATCAAGTAGTTAATTAGCCCCAGCCTGTCCTCTTCTCTCCTTGCCTTTAATGCAGCAGTAATGATGTCTAATTACCAGCAGGAGTGGATTATAGAACCTTTAGAAGCAAAGGACTCTGGTTGATAGCAAAGCATAGTCACACATGTTAAAGCTTCAAGGAGAAAATACTTCTGGACAAATTTAACTTTTTCAAAAGGTTGAAATGGTAAACAATGTATATGCATGTTAAAATTGCTGGAAATGTCCCCAAAATGATTATCATTGGTGATTAATTTTATATTTAAAATTTTATGTATGGCATTTCAAGTTGTAAAAAAAAGTTTTTTAAAAAAATTAAACTGGGCTTGAAGTTACACTGTCTGCACCATAAATATTAGTAAAAGTTACAGTAATAATAATGCAACAATAAACAGTTACAAAGTACTGCACATATAAATGATTAAATACTTCTTATGACTACTGTAAGTTGCTGGAATGAATGAGGTGATAAATTGCTAAGCAGAACATAAATGAGAGGTCAGACAAGGAGACCCAAACTCATTTGTCCATGGTGCTAGTATATAAAGTTGAAGGGAGGCAGGAGAGAGAGAAAAACTTGAAATTCTCTCTGAAGTCAACCATCAATAAACAACAATATAATCTGCTTTTTCTTCAAGTGGGGTCAAGATGTATCCTGTGTCTCCATGGGATGTTAATGAATTTTATTTAAACCTAAAAGAAACTATTTTAACTCTTTTTCTTCCATGTTGGTCTGGAAGACTGAAGTAGACCAAAGGGTAATGTTGTCCTTGACCACATTTTGTGCTTAGAGATGTTGTTAGAGGTGGGGGCTGGGGGTCTTCAGTAGTATCTCTGTAAATAATCATCCACATTACAGAAACTGGTTCCGTGAAAGATACTTTAGATTAGAAGATACATTTAGTCTTAGCAATACTTACTATTAATTATTTTAAATCTATTAAAATTTGTTCATTTTTAACTTATAAGTCATCCTTTCAGGTCAAAATCCTTCTAATAAAATAATAAAACTAAACACACTGAAACAAAGCAAACTAAGAGCAATGCAATTAGACATCAGATCAAAGAATAAAGCTCTTTTGTGTGCTTGGGATGTGCTTGGAAAAATAAATGTACAAGATTTCTTGAAAACTGGAAGGTGGATCAATGAGCATGGAAACAATATGGAAACAATCTTCTCCCCTAAGTTAATCAACAGCCTTCAGAACAGAGGAAGGACCTCTGTTCCTTACTTTTCAATACAAGCAAGCTCTGACTAGTAAAAGCACATCTGGGAGGATCCAAGTTCCAACCACTTAAGGCTCAAAAGTGAGAACCAGCATTTTGAATTGGACCCAGAAATGTTCTAGTAGCTATTGTACAGAAGTTACATATTCTGACTAGTGCATAAAATCTTAGCTGCAATTTTCACCTGCTGAAATTTCTGGGCCAATGTTTAAGTAGATTCTAGTTGCAGCTAATTACAGTAGTCTAATTCAGATGCAAGTAGATGCTAGTTGCAGCTAATTACAGTAGTCTAATTCAGATACCACTTCTGCATCCTCTGCAGATAGAGTCACAAATACTGGCCTGAGTTAGTAAAAAGCATGATTGGACTGTATAAAATAAAGCTTCTCTAGCTTGAGTATTTTATTGACTTAAATGCCTCTGCTTTGAGCCTGGATCCAGTTTTCAAAATTGAAGATTTTATCTGGTCAAAGAATGATGTGCCATACTAAAAATTAACGCAATCTGGAGATAATTCAGAGAACATGTCAAGCAAGTTCCTCATTGCATGCTGGTCACTGAATGTACAGTAACATTAAATCATTGTGAGAATTATGGTGAATTTTAATGTGCTGATCACTTTCTAAGGCTGTGGATACTATACTGTATTTACCCTTACATAGCGGGGAAACTCCACTGAGCTTTAAATAGACATGCAAAGGATCAGGATACAACATTTAGAATAATATTTAAAAATGTAACTTTAGAGTTGTTGCTTTGTTAATTCAAGCAAATAAGTAAAATGTTTAGATTATATCAAGAAATATATATATATATCAAGTATATCAGGAAAAAAAATTAACTGTTTGGAAACAGAATCCAAAAGAATTAAGTTATTCAAACTTGTAAAGCAGCACAACTGAAATAGAATAGTTAATACACATAAAGCCAAAAATACTAATTTTGTTAAAATCACTATATTGTAAAAAGGAAATTTGATTCTTCTTTCTTCTCATTGTTTCTTTTGTCAAAATCAATTTTATGCTCCATTTTGAGTCATTTTGAGAAATAAGATAACATCTACAAACCATTATCTAAAAAGACCATAGGAAACTATGTATTCTCCTATGTTTCATACTTGAATTTTATGATACTAAAGGCTTTTCAAAGGTTTATGGTGAATGTAACTATTATAATACTGGGTATAATCTAATGAGTTTGTAGAAAATAATTTTGGTGAATTGCCCCAGATCCACAAAACTTTCATATGGCAGTAAATAGCTTTAAGCCTCAGATAAACTAAAAATAAACAATGCCTTAAATAATCTGTAGTCTATTCATTTTAAATCATTTAATATACTTCTAGTGTTTTGTAAATCACATACATACATACATACATACATACATACATACATACACATACACACACACACACTATATATATATATATATATATATATATAGTGTGTATGTGTATGTATGTATGTATATACACACACATATATATATATACACACACACATACATACATACATACATACATACATACATACATACATACATACTATTGCAGAGGGATAGGTTTCTGGCATTTTCCTCTGCATATTTCCACTACAATTTAATGCTTCATTTAAAAATCTTTTTTCCTGGTCAGTCAGGAAAAAAGAACCCCGAATCCTTGCCCAACTTAAAATTTCTCTAAATAAAACCCAGATCCTAATATCAAAAGTATAGAAGTGTGCACGTTGTTGAGTAAAAGAAGGCCAGCATAGAGGCTCAGAAAGCAAGAAATACCGAAAGGAGAATATCAACCTACTTGCAACCAACAATTTCCGTTTTCTGAAATAAGAAATGATGTTTTTTGCCACCGCCACAGCCCAGCATCTTAGCCCCGGTGCTCTTAGTGTACGCCCTCCACCTCTGCAAGGCTCCCAACATTTCTGGGCTGGCTCAACTGAGAGCGAGCGAGCGAGCGAGCGCACGAGAGACCAATTCCCATCCGGTCCTGTGAGAGCCTATGGCTCTTTTGTTGATTAGCCTGCCCTCCGCTTCTACAGGCAACCAGCCAGGCACGTTCCTACCGCTCAGGGGATAAGAGCTAACAATGAAAGGGGAGAACTGATATTCTAGGGAAACCCCAAATCACCCGACCGTTTGGGATGGTGCTAATCAAAATCTACTGTCGAACAGAAATAGTCTTTATGGGTAGTGCGCAGCTACAGGACTCGCCAAAACACACACACACACACACACACACACACACACACACGTCCGTTTTAGTTTAGGGGGTGAAATTAGATTTCCCTTTTCCTCGTTCCGCTCCTCCTCCCGCTCCCCACCCCCACCCCCCACCCGTTAAGGAGAAAGGAAGAAAGGAACCGGAGAGACTTCGTAGAGGGGTGTGTTTTGTGCACTCGCAACGTAAAAGCAAGGAAGGCTCACAAAGCCCTGAGCAGCGGAGAAGGTGCCAGGCAAACGCAACATGGGCGGGAGGGGTGGTGAGGAAGCGATTTCAGAAAGGAGGAGGGAGGAGAGAGAGAGAGAGAGAAAGAGAGAGCAGCCTGAGCCAACTCGGGGGTGGAGGTGGCAGCTATGTGGCGGCGGCGGCTCCCTACTCTTCCTCCCCGATGTGGCTAAATAACAAGGCAGACAATTGCTCTACTAACCGTGGTCTTGACCGGCACGTACAGCACTTGCATCCCTCCGCCACCAGCAGCACCACCACCACCACTGACCTCGTCCGGACTGCCGAGCTGGAAGCCTTTGGATTTGACCCAGAATTTAAATTTGGCATTATCCGTGGAGCTTGTCTCGGAGCCGTTCAGGAGCTGGACAATCCGCTCGTATTTTTTACGGGTCACCGTCTTGGTTTTGCCCGAGTCCCCGTAAGTCCTGAGGCACCAGTCCTGAAACTGGCGATACATGTCCCGGTCACCGCTCTCCATAATCCGCCCTGAGAGACACGCACAGCCCAAGCCGACCCGGAGACGGATCCCCCCCACGCCTCCGGGGCACCTGTTCACCCCGGGCTCATGGAGAAAGAGAGCTCCAACGCCAAGACCCAGCGAGAGAGGAGGAGGAGGAGGTCCCCGGCAATCGCTCCGTCCCCGTAGAGGGGGTTGCTTTCTGTAGGCTTGGCGATCAGTTCCAGAGTGGCCCGCCCCGGGGCCCGATCATCCCCACAACTTGCTGTCCCCCTCCTTATACAATCCAGGCGAGCAAATCCGGCAGGGTTGCCTTGTCTTCCCCGTCTCCGGTACGTGAATGTCCCTTCAATGTTGTGCCAGGCAGGACTATCCCAGCGTCTCCAGCAGCGTCTCTTCCCCAGAGGATTGTGCCTCTATGGCACTGAAGACATGGCCCCTGGGTAGATCGAAGCCAAAAGGTTCGAAGCTAAAATACTACTACTAATAATAATATCATGGAGTCGGATTCTTCTCTCCTGGGCATCAGCTTCAGCCCGGATGGTGCAGGTTGGGGGTGGGGGGAGAGAGTAAAGCCCACCCTCCACCCCAGTCAGCCAACCCTCGGCTGTCTTCCTGCGTCTATCCTGGAGGACTCCGTTTCTCCAGAAGCAGGCTGGTTGTGCAGGATGGAGGAAAATGCTGAAGGGCAGCCTGGCCTTACTGCCCCCTTTTATTTCACCCTAAATCTCCGCATTTTGAATGTGAAGCCTTTGGTGGGATAGAAAGTTCTTTCCAGCTGAGGAGATACAGGGCACGTTGGGGAGAGAAACGTCGATACCGCAGGGCACTTTTTAAATCTGGCTCGCGCTGGGTTTTTGTTTTTGTTTTAATCTCACCAAAGTGTTTCCTCACATCACCACTACCCCCAATCTGAAAATATCAAATTTGGTATGAGACTGAAAGAGGCCGAATTCAATCAGAGGAGGCTATTGGCCAGTGAGTGGTTGCTGGCGATGGGGCTGCGTTTGCAACGACGGCACTCGCTTTATGGAGGACTCGCCCAGTCTAGGTTATCCTGAGATCTCCCTCAGCTTCAGGGCGTTCGAGGAAGTTTGGCGTCCGGGTGCTTAAGCAGAACCGTCATCCCTGCTGCCTCCCCTCAGCCAAGCGGCCCTATTATTGTCCCTTCTTTTGCCGCCGCTTCAGCTCTCGCTTGAGATTCCAGGCGTCTTTGGGGCAGGCCACCGACTCTTCCCTCCTCCTCCTCCTCCTCCTCCTCCTCTGGAGCCAAATGGCTAGTGCCGCACAACGACCCTCCAAGCAGGCGAAGGAAGACAGTGGCTGCTCCATTCAACACCTATTCGCGGCCCGGGAAAGGGAGTTCCCATCTTCCTCCTCCACCACCACCACCTCCACCTCCTCCTCTCCGCCGCGCGAGCCTAGACACACTCCCACTCTGTCTCTCTCCGTGCGCCTTCTCTCTCATGGCTTTTGGACCGGTCCAGTCCTGCTTCTTCTCTCTGGCCGCTACTCAGCCCAGCTCTCTCTTTCAGACTCTCCTCAAGCTCGTGGGGGTAAGAGGAAGTCTCATAATGGCTTTTCCTGTCCCGTCACCTTCTCCCTCGGTGTCTCTTCCTCCATCCGAAAGGCAGCGGCACCCTGAGAGAAATGGCTGGCCTGGCACCTTGCGCGCGCCGCGCCTCTGCCTTGTCCCAGGAAGGCACTTGCAAAAACGGTCAGTACCCGCCCGCCTCTCCAGCCTCCTCCTTTTCTCCCCCCCTCTCCGCTCTCCCGCTCTCTCCTCCCGCTCGCCTCCTCCCCCGCCTTCCTCCCCGCCAGCCGCTCTCTTCGTTCAGTGGCTCTACTGGTAGGTCTCGCGGCGCAAGAACCGGGACTGACAGCCGGCAACGCAAGCTGAGCTCCAGCAAAAAGCTCCTTGCTAAACCCCCGTCTCGCTCTTTGGCCCCCTCCCCGCTCGTCGCTCGCTCTCCTCTGATTGGTCAGCCGGACAAAAGTTTCTGTGGAGACGGCTGAGCGGCAACGTGACGGACAGAATTGTCCCATTTAGGGATGCTGGGCAATGCGCATGCTGCAGGCGGGCGGCTGCAGGTTAGAGAGCGCCGCGAAGGCGAGGCTAGTCTAAGCTGCGGGCGGCAAGGTGGCGCTGGGGAGGGAGGAGGAGGAGGACGACGAGGCATCTCCACATCCTCTCCGCCACAGCCAGGTGGGGGAAGGGGGAGGGGCGTGTGAGGGGAGCGTTTCCATGGAGACTTGTTCTGGTCTAGCCTGCCCTCCCTCTCTCACTCTCTCTCCTCCCCATCTTCCCCTCCCATAAGATCAGCTGACACATTATTAGCTTAGGACCTAATTATTGCTTATTGGAGCAACACTTGAGCGAGAGGGCCAGCTGCAGGAGGCAGCGCTAGAGAGGGAGGGAGGGAAGTAGTTCCGCCTTCTCCCAGCCCAGGGAGCTAAGAGTCCCAAGAGGGTCCTTAACTTTCAGGGTTCCAGGCAGCCACAACCACCACCATGTGGTGCTGCTCCCTTCCCACACATCCCACATAATTTGTGGGGGGGTGGGGGGTGGGCATGAGGAAAACAGCATTTAGGTAGCGAGGACCAAAAGATTCTTTCTTCAGGTCACTGGCATGGCGGGTTACTGCTTCTCACTCAGCACATCCTCCCCAGAGCTATTAAGGCCAGCCTTTGCAAAAACAGAGCAGGGGGCTTCCTCATCAAATGGATCTTGAGTTTCTTTTCATTCAAGTAAGTTACTTAATGAACCCCACTATTGCTGCCAATGGCTGAAGAAAATATTCTCACTGGTGTGGGAAAAGGAACTCCCCTTGCATTTCATGAAAAATTCTTAAATGTCCCCTGGTAAGTAATGGGACATTCCAAAGAAAATTCAGTCAATCAGCTGCTTAGAGACACAGTTCTTGTACTATGGAGAAGTTTCGATTTGGGTAGCCCAATTCAATGTTCTGGAAGTTAAAAACAACAACAACACTAGAATGGTTTCTAAAAGGGGAGCTGTCCTAGACTTGGGCAGTGGAAGTAAAAGTATCATAGCATAAACTTTTGATCCTCATAGGCTTACATCATAATGGATTTATTAGTGTTTACAGGACCCCAAGGCTAAGAAGTCACAAAAATAATGTTCATGAAAGGGGAAAAGGGGAAACAATTCTATGTATGCTTATGTGAAAAAATAATAGGATACTTCAGAGTTATCAAATAAAGAATGACATATTTATCATCAGATACAGAATGACAAATATGTAGGCAACAATAACTTAAAGACGTCATTGGTTCAAATTGATCATTATCCTGGGGCTTTATTGTACAGTGTATTTAAAGATATTGTTCACATAGCACTATCATATAGTCATTTAGTATACATCAGTGTATTTCTAACTGAGATTCAACCCTTTTAGGAATGATGAAGTTAAAATCTACTTGCAACTATTTTATTTTTGGTTTAGTTCCAGATAATAACGTTCTATAGTGACTAGTTGGCACAACTGATCAAGTTCATCCTTTCTTTATTAGCTGATTTGACTTCATTGGTGACCAGCCATAGCTAATAAGCTTTTAATATTCAAAGACAATAGGCTGCAAGCAGATGCCAAATGCCAAAAAATGTTAATGAATATTAAAACAGTTATAGAAAAAGAGAAAAGGGTACACCAAACCACCTTCCTTTGGTTTTCCAGGAATCCATCCAAAAAGGCAGTGAAGGAATTGCCTTGGAGCTACATAGTAATTTTTCCCAGGGATGAGAAAGTTCAAAGTTCATGGAGGTGGGGTGCCTCCTTTTTATATTTCACAGAGTATACACAACACTTGTCGCTGGCTTGGTGACATATCTCAGTGTATATGACCTACTCTCAGGGATACTTTTAAGTAAGATGTAGTCCTTAGAAGACAATGTTTGAAGAAAATGAGATGATGCATCTTTTCAGTAACATGGGAAACCCAAATAGATGACCCTTTGCTGAAGAGATTACTTCCAAAAATATATCCTATACAAATGTGTGTATTAAATATATAATCATGCTTACCTATATGTTTGTAAATAATTATATATAAATTAAATATATAATTTTGAGAATGATTCCCAACAGATAATCTACTATAAAGTCATAATTAAAAGCATTCATTCAACATAAAAAGGTAATCCAAAATAATATATAACATCCCCAAATGACATCCTTGTGCTTAATAGGTTGAGTTTCCATGGAAAACTCACCAGGAGGCTAGCTGTTTTAATGGACTGCAGTTTGTTTCATTTTATGTCAAACAAAATCCATGGCCCAAGAGTTTTTGTTTTTCCTAAAGAGCATACAGTGAAACTTAATGGATCCCAATTTATTAGAGTTTGGATATAGTTGACCAAATCTCCACTCAGAGATCCTCCTGAAAGAATGCACTAATCCACTGTATCTAAGATAGTCTGGATCAAATAGTTAAGTGTATTTTAACATTGTAATTTTACTATAATCATGCTGATATATACAGGTGAAACTCAAAAAATTAGAATATTACGCAAATATTCATTTATTTCAGTAATGCAACTTAAAAGGTGAACCTAATATATGAGATAGACTCGTTACGTGCAAAGCAAGATAATTCAAGCTGTGATTTGTCATAATTGTGATGATTATGGCTTACAGCTCATGAAAACCCCAAATCCACAGAAAATTAGAATATTACATGCAATCAATAAAACAAGGATTGTACATAGAACAATATCGGACCTCTGAAAAGTATAAGCATGCATATGTACTCAGTATTTGGTTTGGGCCCCTTTTGCAGCAATTACTGCCTCAATGCCGCGTGGCATTGAAGCTATCAGCTTGTGGCACTGCTGAGGTGTTATGGAAGACCAGGATGCTTCAATAGAAGCCTTCAGCTCTTCTGCATTGTTCAGTCTCATGTCTCTCATCTTTCTCTTGGCAATGCCCCATAAATTCTCTATGGTGTTCAGGTCATGTGAGTGTGTTGGCCAATCAAGCACAGTAATCCCACGGCCATTG